TCAATTATATGAAACTGATGATGATTCCATAAGTGAGTGGACCGTGGATCTAAGACAAGAGCGTTTGTTTGAGGGTGAGGATCTTACATGGCTTGATGTCGAGCTAGCAACAGGGGTTAATGAAGATCTACCTAACACTAGAGCACAAAGGAGTAGAGGAGCTGCTGGCTCTAGTCGCACTCGCACATTAGCTTCAGAGGTCGAGGAGGAAGCTGACTCAGAGGATACCGATGAAGAAGAATACATGGAGGCCGTCGAGGATGATATTGATGATGCGCATGACGACTCTCAAGATGACTTGTCTGATTGATATTTGAAAAAATGAAGTTTAAATTTCAAAATTGACTCTCAAAATGGATGATTGTATTAAATTATTAACTATTAACTCTTCTTGAGCTTGACTTTTGGTTTGTATTTTGTAATATCACTATTTTGTGCTTTTGGTTGTACTTATGGTTGTTCATGGTTGTGCTAATGGTGCAAATTTGTGCTTATGATTGTTGATTGTTGAATGCTTTATGAAGTTGGTTTCAAGTTTCTAGTTTCTATCAGGGGATAGTGGATAACTGGATATAGAATCTCTGACAGCTAATAGTTTTGAAGTTAATCATTAAACTAAAATACCTACTATCACATATATCACCTTCATATTTTTTTTCTATGCATTAACTTATTTTTTTAGATTTTTTTAGAATTTTTTTACATTTATTGACAGCATCATCGCGATGCACCCGCATCCAGGCCGCATCGGCCCCCCACCGCATCAGGGCAGCATCTTGCATTTTATTACACTGCATGCAGGTCATTTGGTTGAAGATGCAATTGCACATTTGAAAATTGAACGTGCAAGTCTTTCTACAATTTCCTAAAATCTAGATTGTAGAAAAATAGAAATCTATTGAGCATGCTTTTGCTAACTAACCATTTTTCTCCTTTGCGTGTTTCCTTTCTTTCTATCACAACTTTGTAGTACAAAAAGGAAAGGGCTAGAACAAAGAAAACTAAGTGATATTGTATATGTGTGATATAATGAACCATTGCTACTAAAATCTCCTCATTAATGTGGGGATCCCATCACGGTCGAGCTGTACTTCGTCAAGATCTCCGTGGGACTGAATTCCTACTGTTAAGGATCTCGTGCATAACTACATCACAATGAAGTTAACATTTATCAAAAAAAAAAAAACCACATCATAAAGCTATAATTGCATCAATATGTGCCTCATCATAATATAATTAAATGATAATGAATTAATGAATACATTCTCCTTGAGTCTTAAAATAATATCTATTTTTAATTAACTTTTTATTTACTAATACAAGTCTTTTAGAATAGTTGGAATTCTTTAAAAGTTTTGTTTTAAAACGTATCTATTAATTAAAAACTTGTATGGAATGAACACCTTTAGGTGAGGTACTAGAAGCACATGGATGTCAACCTTATTGTCATTGATGAACCCGATGGCACAAGTGAATGGACCATACATCATGTTCAAGGGTGAGGACTTGACTTGGTTGGAAATCGAACAAGCTAAGGGGGCTAGAGAAGACCTAAGGCCTACTACTAGATTACAAAGGAGAAGAATTAGTCCATGTTGGTTCCAGAGATCAAGGAGGAGGCAAGTACCTCAAAGGAAATTGAGGAAGAAGGATATGTAGAAAAGATGGGCAATAACACAAACAATGATGGCTTTACAGCCTCAGCTTCGAATGAGGAAGATACATATGGTGGCTTATATGAGTGTGTTGTCTTTATATGTGTGTGTGTCATGAACTGTTGCGTTTTTGGAGTTTGGACATTATGTTCTTATGCAGTGCTTTTGGTCTTTGGATGACATGTGATGACCATTTGGTATTTACATTTTCGATATATGCTACAAGCTACAATATAACAGTATTTTGGTTGCTAGGTGCTAATATGTTTTCTAAGTGCTCATTGGTCACCTGGTATATGTTTTATTTAATTTAGTGAATGGGATGAATTATTTATTTCACATGTCAATTGTATTATACTATTGTTAGAGAATAGAGATAACACATTATGTTACACTTTGTCAGGCTATCACCGACTCAGACAACCAATATATTAAGGATAAATACAAAATTAAATTGTGTAGTATCATATATTCATAGTATTCCATTGTATTATATTTTTCTAATTTATTGACACATCGGAGGTGATCTGCACATGTTAAGGCAGCGTCGAGCATCATGGCACATTAAACCCCTAGATCTTTGAATCTGCCTACTGCATTTGGTAACTATGTCACATGATGTGATGTGCCTAAGTATGCAGACCATGAGCTGCCTAGGAGGGGACATCTAGCAAGCCTAAATGGGCTATATGTGGTGCAACTAAGGTTCTCACTGCTGCTATGCAGTTGCATAGAGCAGTATGTAGCTGCATCTGATAACCATGTTTTAGTCCTCAAATTTCCCAATCCTAATTGAACTACAAGACCTCGATACACCCAAAACCCTGTTGTCCCATTTATTTGTTTTTTTAAAGACCCAACTTATGTTTTACACTTGTGCAGGAATCAAACTCCCTTTGTCCTAAATTAGCAGAGATATCTTGTTTGGCAATGATTAGCCAAACTTCAATCACACCCCAGAATGATTTTGACATCATGCCTGCATGGTGCTTGAAATTCCAATGAAATCCCTATGGTTACCAAAAGATCTCCATCAAAATTAAGCTTAATGATAGAAATGTGTTGGGAGCATCGAGGATATTTTCTGGATTTATGAGCTGGCGTATTTCATTGTAAAAACCCATTCTAGGTCATGTTATTGATGAAGTTTCGAGGTTAATCACATTATGTATTGCTCAATTAAAAATGCGGCTAATCCAAGCAACAAGAAGGAGGAATGAGAGAACAAATACAGTTTCTTTCAAAATGTATGAAATGGTGTACAATTGAAATTTTTTTTTCTTTTAATAAATCCCATAGAAGATATGATCTAGCCTAAAGACAAATGATTGTACTGTATTGTGCAATTTTACTATGATGATTCTTATATAGGCATCATGTGTGCTCTGAAGAAAAGATAGGTAAAGCCAAGAGGAGTCTCAACAATGAAACGAGCTCATGCCATAAGTTTAAGCTGAGAAGTATATACAATGGGAGTAAAAGCCAAAATAGAATGTTACATAAATGATCATAATTCATAAAAACATTTTTTGGCACCAAATATAAGCTCAAAGAAACTGTGACTATATATAAAATATGAACTGATGCTATTCAGGGCACTGATGATGGTGGAGGGAACAAAAGAACGTAAGAGAGCAGTCCAAGAGAATTTGGTTCCATCATGGTAGTGATGCGTAGCCTATACTAGACAATCATCGTTCACAAATGATTAACTCTTACTAAAATTAACAACTGATCTAAATCAATAACCCAAACAACTGATCATTTAAAAGAAAAATGATAGCCCTTACAAGTTACCATTATAGCCAAGAATTGTATAAAGGGGAAATTTACCAAAATATTTCAACTAGAGGCAATTGAATGTGCCAGCATAAACATATAAACCAAGGAATTAGATCTATGGAAAGAAAATATGCAGATCCAACAATGCTTGAAACAGGAGACTATGTGGATAACCAACAAGATTAATGGCTGCTTTGATCTGAAGAGCTAGGAGAATATAACTACTGTGTATAATAAAGTCAATATCTACTATATGGAAACACTTAGCTTCAATAAATCCACTTAATTATCATAACTAAGCCATTTATCTTGTTATGAAGCAAAAGGATAATATCAATTATGGAAGAAACTTGTATCGATTGCTTACACCTATACAATGTTCTGATCCTTATACTTGGTATCCTTTCAATGCTATTAAAATATATATATATATATATATATATAAAAATAATAAAATAATAAAAATAAAAAAAAACTATCAAACAAAAATGATGAAAGAAGGCATGACAATTGGTTTTGAATTCCATGCAACCATATGTAAAGGCATGATAATTGGTTTTGAATTCCATGCAGCCACATGTATGTGGTCACTGGTGAAGATATATGAAAGGAATTCACCATTTCCTCACTATAAAGGACTTCTATTGAGCAATCTAACTGTATTTCTACCAAGGCTCAAAATAATGAAATAAAGGAAAGAGAACATAGCAAACCAAGTCAAAATAGATACTTTTCTACTAGTACCCAGAACAGATAACGCAGTACCTTTCATTAGGTTACAATATTAATAGCAAGCAAACAACCCCTGCCTATGTAGGCATAATACCGTAAAACAATAAGACCCATGTTTTTTTGTTTTTCCTTTGCCAAGTTAAAATTGCGAGCAAGTACATTATCCTCACAAACAACATCACCATAATGCGTTTCTATATTTATCAAATAACCAAAATACTCAACAAACATTTGCAACAACTAGCTGCGGAAAACCACTCAATGGCAGCAATGCACATTGAAAGAAGACTACGAGACCTTTCTACGTTTAATTGCATGAACACTACTCATGTTCTCACACTTCACAACTCATAATAAATAGAGCATTAGTAATCTCCAATTCAAAGAATGTAAGTTTGCTGCTCACTAAGTATTTGATGACTCCAGTAGTTAATTACATAATGAAATTCTTCATCATTGAAAGCTACATGTCCACCCTTCTACTTCCACTTAAACAAATCAAATAAGAACTCATATCCGACGACAAAATCATGACATCTGCTAATAACTTCTACATGCTTTACATCCATGGATAACAACTACATCGCTGTTTTAAAGAGAAAACAAAAGCCACCATTTCAAACATACAAATTTAACTGGAAAAACAACCGTGAAACAAAAAAACACATGCATTGACAAAAAATACCAAAAAAGGAGGCAAAATGAAAGAAGCAACCAAAAGAAAAAAAAAAGCAGAAACCCTAACCATCATCATGAAACTCAAGGTTCTGAAAATAAGAACCCTAGATAGATATATGGAGCTACATAGAAGGGGACAAAGGAGCATCCAACCTCGAGGAATTCTTGCGCATAAGCCTGAGCTAGCTGGGTCTTGACCTGGTCCATTAGAGCCTCTGTGGAAGGGGGAGAGGACGAGCCTGATGAAGCAGAAGAGAAATCCATGGCTCAAAATCTATGTTTTCCTAAGAAAATATGTTAGAGAAAGAAGAACCCGGCTTCTGCCCTGGCCTTAAACTCTTCCGCCATTTCAAGGCGCTAAAACCCTACGCCGTAAGTATACGAGGTGAGCACGAAGGCCGGTGAGGATGCAGTTCGGAGTTTAGATATGCGCAATGCATCTCGACCGTCTAATATGATGGTCGGTTAGATCTGGCCCATGATTTTATAAGCTTTACAAATTGGTTGCTCCCGTGGACTATAGGAGACAAAACTTTTTGTCTGGAGGATCCCTAGCGTTCAACCAACGGATCGACGGTAATGGGATTGAATGGGACCGCTGTTGGGTCCTCCGACTGGGTTTGCCACCGATCTCTACAGTCATGAATCAATCTAAACCATAAGTAAATTAATTGGACGGTAAGAACCAGACATGGTTTTGGCAAAATGTGTTAGATCATGGTATAACTTTTCCCAAGAGCGTATTTCGTAGGTCCGCGGCTTCAGAAAGCCACACCTCAAATCTCGAAGGATGCCACAATTTTGGCATAGAATAATAGACATGATCATGGATTTGGAAAAAACAACGAGTGTCCCTTACTTATACTAAGGCATACTAAGGCGTGAAAGAAAGACATATATGATCTTTTGTCGGGCAAATATAATTTTTTTTTTTATAAAAAATAATCACTCTTTATAATTTTGGCAACAATACCACTCACAGATGGTCTTATTACAAACAATAGAAATTCCAAACATAAATAATACATCAATAATATAAATCTCAACTACTTAATGTCATTCATACAACCTAATATTGTGCTCGACAATATAAAATAAAAGAACAAACAAATAACAGAAAAGATACCAGAGATTACCTGAACAGGGCTTTTTACACTCCACACCGAGTCACCACATCCAATGGCGCGGGATTTGAGGTCTAGCTTCAATCTCGAACCAAGATTGCTGATTTTGGCCAAACTATATAATCACTCTTAAAATTTCTACTAAACGTTAACCCCCAAAACTAACTAGGCTTCTCTTTAATTTTTATCTTCTCAGGTCTAAAGAGGAGAGAGAGTACTACTTAGGGTTTTTGAGAGATGAAGTTAGAGAGAGAAATATGGAGGAGCGAGAGTAGGGCATGCCCCTCTAGGAGAGAGAGGTGAAAGAGTGAGAAGAGAGAGAGGTTATGTGTAGAGATTGAGAGGAAAGCACCCTTATTTATAGTGGATATTTAAGTTTAGGGTTTTCACATAGTTTGTCTATTTTATGAGATTGAATCTAGACCGTTGATCAAGGTGACTTGTGGGGTGAGAGATCTGAGCCATCCATTCCATAAATGGGTCATCAACATTATGGAAGGTGCTTTGACCATTATCCCTCTTTCCTTAAACTATTTTTCTATCAATATATTTAAATAAAATGAATATCATGCATTCCATAAAATTGCATGATCCATGTCATATTTTCCATAAGGATATGTCAATAATTATCAAACAAATAAATACTACCAAATAAGATAAGGTCAATATTTCCCTTCCAAGATTTGACCACATGCCACAAATCAAAGTTACTATATTTAATAAACTTGAACACAAAGTAACAAGAGAATCCAAGGGGTGGGGAGTGCCTCCCCTTTGTGGCACATGTGGGCCCTCACCCACATGCCACATGGTAGGCCAATGTGCACTTTGGGCACCCTTTGGAATTTTATAAACAATTTTAAAATTAAACATTTTAATATATGACTTTTCACAATATTGTAAAATTAATAATTGTATTTTTATAAGTCCAATAAAGTATTGAGAGATTCATAAAAATTCAAATAATAAAACTAAAAACATTTCAATAATAAAATGAATACAATTAATATGATGGGAAATGATCCATATGGTTTTAGGAATTTAATCTGTAATAATGGTGTACTCCACCTTCAACTGTGAACTACAGACCACACTAGCTTTATCGAACCGACCCAGTATTTCCCATGACTCACAGTCCAAACAGGGGTTCATTAGCGGGTCACCAAAGTCAGATCAATGCATCAAGGGGTCGCAATCCCAGTCCGTGGATTACAGGTCTTCCCCTAGAGACGAGTCAAGGTCACCAGGACCTAATGCGACCACATCTCTATAGTGCATAGGGATATATCTCACACATGCATACGCTTGACCCAAAGGTGGATATCTGGTTTTTCTAAACGATCTATCGATATGCATGTCATGCGATGGAACATGGATGAGGTTTTAACCCCCGTCTCAGTAGGCCTACCATCATACACAAGGGTCACACAGTCCTTTGGCTCACTCATCTAGGCATAAGCTTCGACTTCATCAAGAGCTAACTCAAAACCCTCCTCGGTTTAATTCTTTATGCCCAGGTACCTTGAGTTTTCCAACAGACTGGCCTAGATCGATAAGTACAATCCGGCATAAGCAAACATCATTTGCTCAGTATGGTCCTCGAGGGATCACACTCCCACTGAGTTTATGTTTTACTATAGTAAAAGTGTTTCAATACACACTCATAAGGCCTTTAAAGGCCACATAAACCCAACAAGGCGCGCCTCATAAACCATTGAAAATGCTTATTCTAATACTGAAAAACCAGTAACTTCATCATCTCGACCACGATATGACCATTGAACAACAACTTCATCATCTCGACCTCGAGATGTACAGATATGGAAATGAGAGAGAGAATTTAAGTCTTAAAAATGGTACATCTTGTAACGCATTATCTAGGCCGTCCATTTTCAAAATTTTCAAGTGTTTGTAGATCTGCTTGATATGCACCGTATTTTGAGTTTGTAATTTTATAATTAGATATAAATTAGGTTTTTAGGTATAGTTGAAATTTTCGACACCAAAATTACATTGTTTGACTAGGTTCGGAGGTTTCCCATACTTAGACTGTTTAAGTGCACCCAAATAGAAAAAGATTTTGATTTATAAAAGGGCAAGCTTTCTATGCTTCCCCTACAACATAAAACTTATATACTTCCCCTTATACAATCATCCATTCTGAATGGGGCTAGGATTGCCCCAATCACAATGTCATGTCTTTACACTATTTTATTTTTCATTTTTTTATATAAACTATTTTGGCAACTAATTTTGTACATTCAATCCTCTATTAAACTCACACTGGCTAAAAATATGAAAAACAATTTTTCTAATAAAATAAATTGGCCAAAATACCTTTGAAATTTTCAAGGGGTATTTTGGTTATTATATTTTATCAAAAATTTATTTTTAATATTTTTTAGAAGTGCTCCCCAATGAGAAGATGGCACGTACCAAATTTCATATTCATACAATTTGTATAAAAAAAAACTAAAACTAAAATAATTTGAGACATTAGATCTAAGATCAATAGTGAGTGGCTCTTTTGATCAAAATTGGACAGCTGGATGGTAAGAGAAGCATAGATCTTCTATGTTGTAGGGGAAGTATAGACACCTTTCCCTTTATAAAATTGGTCCATCGTGCAGTAAGTTTTCTGGGTCTTGTATTTCAAAGTCTTTACAAATCTGCAAATCTACAGTACGTTAGAACTTTAAAGTCCATCAATATATCTACAAGGCATTAGAAGGGTTTTTGGCAATTAGACTCAGTTTTCCAGCCGAGGTTTAAGGTCCACTTTCCAAACTTTATAGATTACAGCTCTATGAAAACCGCGACCATTTTCTTAAGGAACAAGTTTATATATACGCGTGGGGCTCTAAATAATCAAATTAAGATGTACCTATCCAAAGATACTCAAATCGATCATCTCGACTTCAAGATATATAAAAATGAGAAAAATAGATTTTGAGTATTGAAAATAGTACATTTTGTAATACATTTCTGAACTATCAATTTTCAGGACTTTCAAGTGTTCGTAGATCTACTCGATCTACATTATTTTTTAACCTTTAAATTTTATAATTAAAGATAAAAAAAAATTCTAGGCCATTTCAAACATTTCAATACTGAAACAACATCTTTCGACACCATTTAAAGGTATGCTTTGGATTATTTTAGGCTCAGCCTTATACAAACCACACCTTTTTTCTTAATGGTGAGGTTTGTATAGAGCCTAGGCTCTAAACAATCAAATTACAGCCTACCTTCAAATAGTGTTGACAAATGTGGTTTCAATACTAGATATCTTTGTTATAGCCTTAAAATATATATTATATTTATTTATAAAGTTTAAAGCTTAAAAAATAGTGTAGATTGACAAATCTACGAATACATTAAAATATTTAAAATTGATGGCCCAAAAATGCGTTACAAAATACACTATTTCCAAAACTTAAATTTTATTTATTTTTCTCATATCCATATATCTTGATGTTGAGATGATCAATTTGAAGATATTTGGACATCAAAACAACCTCTTCCGAAAGTTTTGAGGTAGGCTCAAATTTGATTGTTTAGAACCTCGGCTCCATATAAACTTTTCCCTTTTCTTAATGATGAGGGGTTGGTAGGGCCGTGGCTTTAGATGATATTTTGTAAGGAGGATTGGTAACACCTCAAATACCCATCAAGAAAAACAAATCTAGTGCCAGGAAACATTTTGATGGCCTCCAACTAATTGCTAATTGTGTTCATTCCAAAGGTCATTGAGATGGATGGTCCAAATTCTATTCAAGATGGTGGTGGATTTGAAGAATTGTCTGAGCTCCAAGTATTTTTCCCTTTTTAGAGAACATGAAGTGGCAATATAAATGATTTGGAACTTAGTTTAGGAACCTCCACTTCAAAAGTGGGTTTTGAGTTATAGGCTAACACCATATTATCATTTCTATTCTTAATGGGCTACCTAAATGTTCTAGTTATCAGCTACAAAATTTATCTGTTAACCATTGTTTATGTATTAAAGTGAGGAGTGTTTCATGCGGCTTCGTGAGATAAGTGTTATTTTAT